GGCGGGTGACCCTGAGAATCGCTTTATGTTGGCCTGCGGCTTGCGTAATCTGCGATCAATTATTTATTTCATGCACCACTTATGGGTCTGAGGGGCAGCGCTGGGCCTCTGATGTAGCTCGGTGCAGCAGAAAGGAGGCTTCCTTCCACGGATGTTACAGGGAAGGGAAGTGGCGTTTTGGGGGTTTCAGATAGTGTTCTTAATGTGTGCTCCTCTCCCTGTGCAATTTCGGGGGATGTGAACGAGGGAGGTCCTTATTTAGGATAAATTTTTGAAGATCGAGTGGAAGCCATCCCAGTCTGAGCAAAAATAACCTTGTGTGGCTTATTTCATGTGCTAGATCGTTATTTTCCTCATTCTGTGGCAGGTTGGGCTGCTCAGCCAGCCTGGAGAGAAGGCTGGAGAAGGAACCATGTCTTCTGAATGTTTCTGTCTGGCTGCTCAAGCTAGGTTTGACTCCAAATGGTTGAAGACAGACTTACAGGTAAGGAGTTAGATAGTTACATTGCATCGTGACCTTTCAGGTGCAGATCAAGGATGATTTTAGCTGACAAACAGAAGACTGCAGCATTGCTTTTGAGATAGACATATAGGTTTTTTTGAGTATGCTGGTTTAAAACTGATCTTGAAGAAACACTAACTCATTTTGAGCTGCAAATAGATCTGTATTGTCAGTCCAGTCCCTTCTGCGTAGAAACAAGCTGGACTACGTATGTATGTTATCTTTGCAGAGTGTCAAAGCACATAGCTGAGTATATAGTATTACTGCTAGAACTATAAATTCTTCATTTAGGCTGTTGGTAAACTTCTTGCCTGCCTATGAGCTAGCAGCTTTAATGCACAAGAGAACTGAAGCGAAAGGCGATGGAAATCTCATGTATATTTTGAAGAATTCAGATTAGCTTTTACTGTAGTTGTTTGTATAACAGGTGTAGGCTTCCTTTAAATTTTGTCCTTTTTGAAGGGAGTTAACTTTTATGTCAAAGATATGTGGTTGAAATGGAACTGGTCTTTGTTGAAATGTGCTGGTGTGTGGTGAAAGTTTTCTTTTGTCTTAGAAGATGATTTGTTTATTTATCAAAGTTGCATGATACAGGGATGAGGATGCTATCGTGTTTTCCCAATTCAGGTTTGAAAATTAAGTGGAAAATACAGAGAAGTAGAGTGGTTTGGGTCAGTTACGCTTGTTTCAGATGAAATGGGTAACTAGAGTAAGTCCTTGTCTTGTCCATCGTCTTCCTTCCCCCAGATGTTTCATATAGATACCTTACTTTGAATAACCTTTCCAAGTTCCTGCTCAAAACTCTGAAATTCTTGTTGAGATGGGCCAGCCAGTGTTATTCCTTTGTTACAGATTAATAATAAAATAATAATAATAATAAAAAAAATCAAAAAACTGCATCCTGAGTGATCGTCTGAATGGTTGAGTGCAGCTGTTCTTGTGGTTAGGCAAGGGTTTTTCCCCAAGCAGTTGTGATTCAAAAGCAGCCTTTCTCCAATATTTTACATCAAACAATCTAAATCGGAATCAGAAGTGACAGATATAGCCTTAGAGGTTACATTATTTAGTAGGTCTTGTATGTAAATGCTATAAAATGACAGGGCTTGCTCTTGATTTGGCTAGCTTAGTTCTATTTTCATCTTTTATTCTTACCGAAGTAAAAGTTTTGATCCAAAGTTAGATGTTTTGGCTAATGTGGTAAATAAACGTAGTAGAAAACAATTTGAAGATAAGTATATTAAGAAATACAGAAATATTTTTGTGTTCCCTGGAAGCTGGCTTCTAGATTACAAATATGTTGCTTCAATGATTGTATAATAGAGGAAAATTTTAGCTGAAAAAGTGGCAATCTTTGTAACAGCTGCTGAATATGCATTGCCTAGTTTTCTTCTGTATTATATGGGGTGAAAAATGTGGCTGTTCATGTGATTTGTCAGATTTTTCCTCTCATTTGTAGTACCTTTTTTTTTCTACATCCCTTTTTTCTGTTTATGTAGACTTTTGACAGGAGGGTTTCAGTTGCCACCCAAACTTTAAGGATTATTTTCAGCTGAGTGTGCATAAATGCAATGAAATATTTGTCTTTTATGACATTGTTGTGTAGTTAATGTGTTGTAATAATTCCTTTTAATAATAAAAATCTTAATTTGTAACAAATTTCTGTGAATAAGCTTTCTTACAAATAAGAGTTCTTCATGAGTAATAACAAGTTAGACTCTAATTGCCAGGGTACTCCCTTTGTTTTCTTTCAATCATGCTGTAGTCAAAATAATGAGATTAATGAAATAAGAGAACAGTAATCATTGGTGATCTGCTGGACGCAAACATCACTTCTCTGGAATCTGAAGACTAGCCAGGCCTCCTGGGTATAATATAATTTTCTTACTAGGTTAACTGTTTTTGGTATTACACAGGTCCTCGTCACAGAACTCTGTCTGGATGTATGTGTTCAGTATTTTAAAAAACGTGCATGTGAATCTTGAATCGCTCCTTTTTAATGTATTAAATGGCAGATGTCTTCTGTCAGGTAAAGGGGTTTTGGGCTCTGAGGAATTTTTCTATTGCATGATTGACTATTTTAGCTACGGGTTGACTAGCATGACCTAGCTGCATGTGAAATTTCTTTATAGGTATAAATCCCGTCTCTTAATCCTTTAAGTTCTGTCTACTGAATATGCTGATTTCCTCCTGTGTATGTTTTTACTGGCTAACTATAGAAGGGCCTTATTGGTGTTCAAGAGACTGTCAACAGGAATTGAAAAGATGAGCATAATACTTAGGAGAGATTTGAAGGAAGACACACTAATTTATGTGAATTAATTAAGCTGCCTACAAATTGTTGTTTGGAATTAGACCCTGAAACTCTTCACTTTGCAGTTAGATTTTTAACTTTTCACTATACAGCAGTCCAAGAGTGGGTAGGTGAAAGTCTTTGGAGAAACAGAATTATACCGGGAATTGTTACCTTAGGAGACATACAGAGATTGATTAGTCTTTAAAACTAACTTTTTTTGTTTTTAAATGAAGTTCTTCGCTGTTGTAAAATTTGGGGAGTATAACTAGAATTGGAAATGAAATGTTTCATTTGGTGGGCCAAGTATCCAAAACTAACTTTTTTTGTTTTTAAATGAAGTTCTTCGCTGTTGTAAAATTTGGGGAGTATAACTAGAATTGGAAATGAAATGTTTCATTTGGTGGGCCAGTAGTATCCAAAGTCTGACTTGCCCCCCCTTTTTTTTTGTCACTCTTGCCAGAGAGTTTACTCTTTAGACTTGATGGCTGTGGCAGTTATTGTGGATTAAGCCAGTGAAAGCTCTCTGAAAATCATTGGATTCTTTTTTGCTTTAGCTCAAGACGATGTTGCATTAATAATGTAATACATGATATTATAATACTATGTGCATTAATACCTCTATAATATAGTGGTATTAATATAATAAGAAAAGAATGACACATGGATTTTAGCATGGATTGTATTTAATCACCTGTGTGCGTCACTGTTCCAGCTGGCATTCAGGACAAATTTAAATGTTCTTATTCATTTTTGGGATGTTACTCTTAAGAGACCAAGCCAGCGTGATGTAGCATATTATTACTTTGGTATTTTCTTAAGAGAATCTCTCTCAAAGAGACAAACCTTTTTGTAATAGCAGCGAGCATCTAGCCTGCAGGATTAACTGAAGTGGTGTGAAATGTTAATGGAACTATATCTTGACAATATATTTTTTGCTTGTATTAATTTCTCTGAAACTAATCCATATTATTATAGGAAGCCAAATGCTCTACAAAGACCTGAGTGCGTCCCGTAACTATTCCATGTCTTTTTACTAACTTTGTAATTATTGACCTATTATTGTATGATTTACATCTGCTCGTATAATTTTGAACTGATGAGAAACATTTGTTTTATTCAAAATCTAAATTTCCCGGTGGAGCAAAATTAAGATACTCTAGATGTTGTCTGAAAAAACACAAACTGTTATAGCAGCTGAAAAATTAGGATAGTTCAGCTTAATCTGAGGTAACATCAGTAGTACAATATGTAATATGTTCTCATATCACATGTGTCAATAATATGTGTATAACATCACCATTAATAAAATAATCCTATGAAGTTATAAAATAGGTGGATTTTAGTACAGGCCACTTTTTCATGGGTCATGTTCAACGTAGTTGCTAGAAAGGTTAGCGTGTCGCTTAAATTTCCAATTTATTTTTTTAGATTTGAATTAATACATCTAAAAACACCTACCTATTTATGTCTATTACTAGTAGAAACCATCATACTTATAGCAAAATCTGTGTGTAATGGGAGATTGTGTTTTAATGGCCGTTTCTAAGGAAGACGTCCTTTTTTTTTAGAAAGGAAAGTATAAAAAAATATACAAACGGAAGGGAAGATTAAAATTGTTTACTTAAACCTAGATACTCAGTTTGCTGAATCAAACTGTGCTTAAAATAATTCCGATTAAATAGATGTACTGTACTACTAATTTAGAACCTTATGCAGAGAACTTTAGCTACTGATGGCTGAATTACGAAAAACTAGAATTGCTGTCAGCTAGTGGGATGCATGTGTGTGTTCGAATGGTGTTTAATTAGTCTGCTTATTCTGGATCCTGCGGAGAACTATTGTGCTTAGTAGCAGGGGTTAGAGGTGAAAAACTTCCATTTTCCTGTAGCGTGGAAAAAAACTTCAGGCAACAGTCAAGGTGCAAGAACTGTCTACAAGAGGAATATGATGCATTTTCATCAGTTTTCATTGGGTTCATGGTTGGCAGGCTATTTCTGTCATCATCTTTTGCCACAGAGATGAGAGTGAGCTTTTTGAAATCAAACAGCCACCTGTAAGAGTTGCACTGGTCTGAAATCTTTTTGCCTTCCCTTCAAAGTTACATTCGGCATTTTGATTTTCATGAAAATCCCACTCTTCTAGCATCTAGATCAGTGTCTTTGCTTGTAAGAAGATAACGTAAACAAATGATGTCTTGACTATTAAAAGCAGGGAGTTACTGCAAGTTGCTTTCTCTATTTTGTTGATTTCCTGTTAATTTTCTTCTTAGTTTTGGTTTTCTGATCAAAAAAGGAAGAAGGGCTCATGTGGAAGTTCTTACAGCAAACTGCAAATGAGAACTCCTACATTTTTGAAGGAAGTGAAGTTTGCAGTAGGGATTTTTAAAATTATTTAAAAAATAGTGCTGTCCCTCCAAAATAAGTGGTTTCCAGAGGGAGGGGTGAGGACCGTATGTGGAGTGATAGGTTAGAGAAATTAAATTTAATGTTTATGCAAATATTTGGGCTCAAACAGAACTACTGTTCTGCAAATGGAGAAAGTTAGAGAATTTCTCCTCTAAGTTTGAGGGAATTGCATAGTTTTTCTTTGCGTATGACCAGTAACTGTTAATAAACATTTGCAACAAATGGAAGACCAGTAGACTGTTATTATGGGGACATTTCTAATTTAATCCCAAATCTGTTGAAGT